GTTCTTGAAAATTCATTGAAATTTTTGAAATTAAAATATTTATGTAATCTTATATGGTATATAGTTTAATCTATATATATATATATATATATATATTTATTATTGAGTGATACTTTTTACTCATATGGTTTTAAAATCATGTGTATCTTTTTATAATAAAAATGTTCAACAATTGATCATTAATTTTTAACATAATAATTTTGATAGTTTTCATCATTTATTCTCATTTTTTAAATTCAAAATATAACATATACGAAAAAATCTAAAATTTAATTTAATATTTAATTTGATTGTTTAATTTATTTTAATAATATCAAATTAAAAAAATGATGATGGGGGAGATATAAATTGTTATCAAATATTTTTATTAGAATCATTAATTTTCATATATAGATTAATTATTTATGGTAATTCCGTAGATTTTATTTAAGAAAAGGAAATAAAATAATAATTATATCTAGCGGAACAATCATAAATGCTTATATCGTGAATATCATATCATATCATCATATCATGTAGTTTGACTAAAGAATGTTTCTAATGACATATAAAAATCGAATGTAATTGATTACCTAATTGAGTGACACTTAAGCATGCAGTATTTTTTAATTATTACGAAATTGAGGTTACAATTTTTCAAATGTTTCTTTTAATATATAGGGATTTAATTTTAGGTCAATAGATGTGTTTTTCTATAATTTTACAGTCATCTGGTTTTCGTTGTTGGATATACCGAAGAGAAAATAATAGGTTCTCGTGATACTTGAGTGTGTAATGACGAAGATGAATATCATGTGCCCAAGAAGGATAAACATTTATATCATCTACATTTTATTTTGTTTGCTCCAGTTATGGTTGTCCTTTTAGTAGTAATAGTCTTAATTTTCCTTAATGTAGAAGCAAATTGCATGTGAATTTTAAAACTTTAATTGTAGGCGATTTGCGATGACTGATGAAGTAGTGGTAGGAAATGAAAACAGTTTGTTTATTTGGGCTAAGTTTGGCTTATTGTCCATTTGAAGTTGGATGTTATATTTCATGTGAATATAGTTTACGCCGTAGTTATGTTGTTGATTTACTATATATGTTCTCATATCTTGATTTTCATGTAACTATCATTTTTTTTTTGTTGCGAATCATTTTTTTGTCTATTAACGTATTTTTTTGTCATAACTGTTTTTTTTGGGTAATGTTATAGGAGATCCATTTAGGATGAAAGATATGACCTATATATCTGCACAAATGTATTTTTATTTTTATGGATCAAAATTTTATGATAATGTATAACTAAATTGTTGTATATACTATTTAAAATATATGGTCCTATATATTTCTACTTTTTAACATTTATTATACTAAATTTATCTTGGACTATTATTTATATGATAATATACGTAACATAAAATATTTTTATTAATATATGTATTATATAAATTTTTTGTGACTTTTATTGTGAAAAATACATTAATTAAAGAGAAAAGACAAAAAAATTATCTGAGGTAGACTAATTAATAATTTAGAGGCATACCATTATAAACAATTAGGAAAACTTAGGGGTATTTTATAACTGTATTATATTTTAATAATAGAGATGTAACTCTTACAAATCTAAATTAAACGTTGTTTTTGATTTCTACATACAAATTAAAAATATAGTTAAATGTTTAATTTTTTCCTTAAAAGACTATTTAAATTATATAGAATTTATTATTTTCTTAATCAGTTAAGGGTAAAATAGATTAATTAATAAAAATTACATTAAAATTACAAACGGGTTTTTAACAAAAATTTATCCTACACCAACACTTAAATTGAAACTGAGAGTATATTTTACTTATTTTGTTTGTTTTTGCTTTTTGTATGTTGTCTCAATTGTAATCTGGGAACTGTCCAGTGACGTCGGTATATTTTGATATTTAAATTGATCTGGTTTCCTTTTATGGGCGATTACGTCAACAAGAGGTGTCTGTGCAAAAAGATTGCCAATCGCACTTTGACAATAGGCAACTTTAGAAGAAAAAAAAATCATTTGTTGTTGCTTTCATGCATCAAATTTTATTTAGGGGAATTAGGTTCAGTAACCATAAGAAACAAAAGAAATAATAATAATAACCATATCAAGGTTTTAATTATGATATAATTGATTTTTTTCTCTTTATTTCTCATTTTATCCTCAGCTTGTGCGTGGAAGCGAATTGTAGTTTTCGTTTTCTAAACTGTAGTTGTAATATATTATATCGTGTTACAAACTGGAAAAAGACGAGAGAGATCGAGGAGGCGTCAAAACTTCGGTGACGGAAGGAAGTGGAAATCGGAGTTATATTCTTCAACCATGAAAAGAATAGTTTAAACTGTAATTGTAATACATTATATCTGGTCACAATCCAATTTTTTTTGTATATCTAATTGAAGTAGTTTACGGTGGAGCTGCGCGCAACAGTGAATGATGAAGAAGATGAAGTATAAGCCTATACTATATGAGAAAATTTAATAATATAGTAATCGTATACCGATTCCTCTCATTATCTCACTCCTCCTCCCTCTCTCTCTCCCTCTCCCTCTCATGCTCCCCCTCCCCCTCTCCCACTCTCCCACTCCCTCAACCCCTCCCCCTCTCCATGTTCCCTTCCCCCTCCTCCTCCCCCCTCCCTCTCCCCCTGTCCCTCTCCCTCTCCCTCTCCCTCTATATTTTACCTACCAACAATCAACACAGTTTTACCTATCAACAACGAACACAGTTTCATACATGATAGACTCTATGCTTGATTGTTCTTTTGTAAATGGAATGTAATTTTGTAGGTGATTTCTGAGGTAAGATGTTATATTTTCTATACTAGTACTTGTATACAATAGTATAGTATGTAAATTCACTTTAAAAATGTGTCACTCTTCTCATTTTGTATTTCGTGCATGTATATATGTTTTCTCTCAAAGCACTTGAATATTTAGCTTTATATATCTAGTCTCCTTTCAACATAGTGTACCTCTTTTGGATGTTAGTCTCGATAGTTGCTTTGTGTGTTAATGTATGCCCTATACTATCCAATATATAATATAGTATAGTATATAACCTATACATATATTCCACCTGCTATTGTATACTTCTGTCATTTCCAGTATGTTCATCATATTGTATATTGGTTTCATTTGCAAACAACCAACATCCTTTTTATTATCCTCCACCACATGACTTCGTTATAGTTTTACTATACTTTCGTGAGGTAAGATTATATTTTCTGAGGTAAGATGTTATATTTTCTATACTAGTACTTGTATACAATAGTATAGTATGTAAATTCACTTTAGAAATGTCACTCTTCTCATTTTGTATTTCGTGCATGTATATATGTTTTTTCTCAAAGCACTTGAATATTTAACTTTATATATATAGTCACCTTTCAACATAATGTACCCCTTTTGGATGTTAGTCTCAATGGTTGCTTTGTGTGTTAATGTATGCCCTATAGTATCCAATATATACTATAGTATAGTATATAACCTATACGTACATGCCACCTGCTATTGTATACATGCTATTGTATACCCCTCTATATACTATAGTATAGTATATAACCTATACATACATATATAACCTATATGTTTCCTCTCAAAGCACCTGAATATTCAGATGTTAGATTCGAAGGTTGCTTTGTGTGTTATTGTATTCCCTATACTATCCAATATATACTATAGTATAGTATATAACATATATATATTTGGTTAATGGTTTGGATTCATGGTTTATGGTTTGTTTTCATTGACTATACTATAGCATATGCATCATAGTATATTGTCTCGAATTGCTCACTCGCCTCTTACAGCCGCGTAAGCGTGTGCAAGGCGAAAATCGTCCAACAACGGCGTTAATTGTCACATCACATTCCTTATGGTTATATCTTTAATTTTGAATTTTGCTATAATTATTTGGTAAATTGCCCATTTTATTTATTTTGTTTTTTTCTTTCCTTTTTATTATTCAACAAATTTCTATATTAGCTTTTCTTGATTGAGAATGGCCAATGACAACGATATTCATGTATTTAAACTGATCTGGTTTCCTCTTGTGGGAGATGAAGTAAACAATAGTTTTTTTGTAATATTAAGTCAATTACACTTTGATAATGTTAACAGTCAATTTTAGGAAAATAAATTCATTTTACAGTTGCAGTCATCAACTTTAACTTGTTTTGTTTGTTTTCCCTTTGTCATACTATCTTATTTTCATTGGGAAGAGCCAGTGACAACGATATTTGGGTACATAAACTGATATGGTTTCCTTTTATAGGAGATGAAGTTATTATACAAAAGATTGTCAGTTACACTTAAATAATGTTATAAATATAATATGCAATTCTGTGAAAAGTTCTTTTATTTTTTTAAACTGGCCTTCAGTTCTTTGAAAAATTCTTTTGCCGGAAAAATATAAAATATCAGTTTTGTCACTGCTGTCAATAGATGTCCATTCATTATTGTTAAACAAACTGTGTATATGCGCAATATATATCCTTGAGTTGGTGCTAAATATAAAATATGATTATTTATTAAAAAGTACCATTTTATATGTTTCGGAGATAAATATGAATTCTAAACAAGTATTTCCATTGATTTAATCAGAAATGATAACAAAAGGTTTCAAATCTTTTGGCATACATTTCTGTAAACATTTGCGATTCAGATCAAAGTTGTTTAAGTATTTTTACTTCACCAAAAGCAGTTACCCAAAACATAGAAACGTTAATTTATAGTTTCTATTTAAATCAACATAATTTACCCATAGTAAAAATCTATGTATAAAGATAAATTTTTCATATGTTAATGATATACGTAAAGAATATAATATTTGAAATGTGTAGCATTTTAGATATTATATGCCAAGTATGGATCCTCCCTATAAAATAGAGAGTCGTGAACACGCTCTGATGCACAAATCACTAGTGACATTCATTAAACACTTAGATAAACACGATTTCTGATATTGAAGACAACTTTCAAAATAAGAAATGGAGAAGATCTTAATTTCTCTATGTTTAACCACCTTATTAGCCTTTCTCTTCCTAAAGCAACTCTTCAAACGAACAACCACCACCAAACTTAACCCACCACCATCTCCGTGGCGGCTTCCCATCATCGGAAACTTCCACCAGCTCAGTCTCTCCCCTCACCGCTCCTTCCGTTCACTTAGCCTCCGGTATGGGCCACTCATGCTCCTTCATTTTGGTCGTGTCCCAGTCCTCGTAGTCTCCTCAGCTGAAGTAGCTCATGACGTTATGAAAACACACGATCGCATATTCGCCAACCGCCCTATAACCAAAGCGGTGGACAAAGTAACGAATGGTGGAAGAGATCTCGTCTTTGCCCCCTATGGCATATATTGGAGGAATATTAAGGTTTTCACTTTTCTATTTATTTTTCTGATAATCGTATAAACTCAACGAACAAGTTTTCTTGACACTGAAGGCATCTAATGTGGCCAACGAACAAATCATTCATATCGAGAATTTTTTAATGTCTAGAAGTTTTAGGTCCGGCTGTCCATACATTGAAAGTCTCACCACTCATAAATCGTTATTTGATATCCATATGATCTATAATGTCTCAACGGTGTTGTATATAGAGAATACGTAGGAAGGATATACTAATGATAGATCCTAATTTCGTCTTTTAACTGAACTGGATGCAGAGTCTATGCATAGTGCATCTTCTGACCAACAAAATGGTTCGGTCCTTTCAGAAAGGGAGAGAAGAAGAGATTAACCTTATGATGGAATATGTTGAGAAAGCCAGTTCATCTTCTTCAACAGTAAACCTTAGCCAACTTTTTATTACCCTAACAAGCGATGTAATGAGTAAAGTTGCCTTGGGAAGAAAATATAGCAGTGACCAAGGCACAATCGATATCAAAACATTAGTGAGGACATTCGCACAGGTCTTAGGCACATTCCCTGTAGCAGATTACATTCCTAGTTTGGCATGGATAGATTGGATCCGCAGATTGGATGGTAAAGTAGAAGAAGTAAGTAAAACGTTCGATGATTTTTTGGAAAAGGTGGTGCAAGAACATGATGCAGATGCAGAGAAAAAAAGATCAGGTTTTGTTGATACGTTGTTATCGATTCAAAGACAGAAGATGACACCATTCATTTTTGAGAAAAGCGACATAAAACTTATCATCTTGGTAAGATACATTTAAATCTGTTATCATGTAATATTTGTGAATGGATCATTTAAAACTACTGTGTAAAATAAAATTTTGTTCCTTTTTAAGGACATGTTCATAGGGGGAACGGCAACAACTTCCTCACTGCTAGAATGGATGATGACAGAGCTTATGAGACATCCAGAGTGTATGAAGAAACTTCGAGACGAGATTTGTTCCGTTTCAACGCATAGTTTATATGTAAACGAGGAAGATGTAGAGAAGATGAACTACTTAAATGCTGTAATCAAGGAGACACTTCGTTTACATCCGCCACTTTCAGTACTACTCCCTCGACAATTAAGCGAAGATATCAAATTAAAAGGATATGACATTGCTGCAGGCACACAGGTTACATCTTTTTTTTCTGAACATTAAGTAACATATTTTTAAAATCTATATATACATTACATGCCAAATTACTATGTTAGCAAAACAACATAAAAAATGTGTTTGTAAAATAATAACTTTTTACTTATAAAACCATGCCTAAATGTTTTGAAAACTAATGTAAAGAAATTACATTTTTAACTCCAATACAGGTGATAATTAATGCGTGGGCAATCCAACGAGATAATGCGACATGGGGACCAGATGCAGAAGAATTTAAGCCAGAAAGACATTTAAATTCATCTTGGGATTTTCAGGGACAAGATTTTAAATTCCTTCCTTTTGGATCAGGGAGAAGATTATGCCCTGGAATTAGATTGGCATTGGTATTGGTTGAAGTGACGCTGGCAAATCTTGTGAAACGGTTTGACTGGAGAGTCCAGGTCGGACCGCATGGAGTTGATAAGCCTGATCTAGCCGAGGCTGCTGGTATAGAGGCTTGTCGAAAATTCCCTCTTATTGTCTTTCCAACTTCTATTGTGTTCCCCATTTAAACTTCCCCGCACCATGATCGTCATTGTAACTCGTCTGGAATGCCTATGCGTCTCGCTGGCCGTTATTGTTAGCCGTTTCTTGAATCTACGGTAAAAGTGTGCATTGTAGATTTCTGTATTGTTTGGTTATCTATGTTGTGTCTCTTCTTCAGAGACCCGCTACGCGCTATCCGTGTGATATAATCCGAAACCTAGCGAATTTATGAAATCGGAAAAAGAAAACTCAGGAAAGGTGCGGAGAGTAATTTTTAATAGAGAAAATTGGAAAAAAAAAGACGCTTTGAACTTGGATTTGTCACAATAGGATCTGTGACACATATTTTTGGAAAATAGGATTTTCATTCTTGTTAATACCAAACTACCCATAATTTATCAATTAAGTTGAATTAAAATTATATATTATAATTTTCGTAATTGATTTTAAAGTTAAATAAAATTAACAAAACTTAAAAAATTACAAAAAATAAAAAAATTTTAAAATAAGAAAAAGGCAAAAGGGGATTTTTGATACCCTAATTTCAAAACCTCATTCTCTTCTCCGCCGTAGAACAAGGTGACTTCCATGACGATTTACGGTTCTCCGGAGAGAAGATCATAATCTTTCTCGGAGTTTCATCTTCCTCTTGTCTCGAATCTCGTCTTCGTCATCCTCCTCTTCGATCTCCCCCAAGATACAACAAAATCTCTTTTCTCCTTTCCTCTTCGTCGTCCTCCGGTTATCGTTTTCAAGCTCGAAATGTTCTTCCAACAATTTCGTCTCAAGTCTTCACACAAGGTATTCACTTCTTCTTTTGATTCTCATCTAAAACTTAATCAAATTGTTCTTCCCTTTTACATAGTTTTTTTTTAAATCGATTTGAACTTGGATTAAAATCGATTTGAGCTTCAATTATGAGCATGTAATACACTATCCCTTTTACACAGATTTTTGTGAAATCGATTTGAACTTAATCTAATTGTTCTTCCCTTTTACACATATTTTTTTTAAAATCGATTTGAACATGGATTAAAATCGATTTGAACTTGAATTATGATCATGTAGTACACTATCCCTTTTACACAGATTTTTTAAGTTCGATTTGAACTTGGATTACACAGAATTTTTTTTTAAATCGATTTCTCTTGCTCTCATTAACATGTTGAACTAACAAGTTTTGAACTTGGATTTTAGATATGTCGCTGGAGTTACCAAAGAGGATTTTTAAGGAGGGCGAGGAGCCCCAAGTGACTCAAATCAACAACAGCTGCAGGATTGACTACATTATCTGAAAGTTCACTGAGTGGCTGCCAAAGGAGTTGGAAGCTGTGAAAAAAGATCCAGTCTTTTCTCAGATTTTTAAGCTGCATGACAATGGTCTTGGGTTCTCCGCGAGAGTTGTACACAGCTTCTTGTGTAGGGAGCTGGTGACTTACAAAATGCACGAGCTTTGGTTCATCTTTGCGAGGAGATCACTTCGATTTTCATTACAAGAGTTTCATGCAGTAACCGGGTTTGAGTGCAATACTCATATCTCTCTTAAGGAGTTCGAAGACTGGAAATATGATGGTGGTTTCTGGAGCAATGTGTTGAGGAGAAGAGATGGATCACTTACACTCTTCAACCTGTTGAATAAGGACAAGGAAACTGTTAAGAAGTGGAAGAATGCAGATCGCATACGACTAATCTATCTCGCCATCATTCTTTGTGTTGTTTTAGCGAGAGATGAGAAGGCTAATATCCCCCTCAAATACATCAAGGTGGTCATGGATCTTGAGAAGGTTGGCAAGTATCCTTGGGGAGTAGCGGCCTATGATCTTCTCTGCAACTCAATAGCCAAAAATCATGACAAGCTGAAGGATAAGACTACTAGTTATGTCTTGGATGGTTTCTCTTACGCCTTGCAGATTTGGGCAATGGAAGCTGTACCGAAGATTGGGAAGCTTTGTGGAAAAAAACTTAACAAAAGTTTCACAAACGGTCCTAGATGCATAAAATGGATGGGAGCTGCAAAGGTGTCATACGATGAGATCAATCGGTTGGAGCAAATCCTGACACCCAAGGTAATCTCTAATCTTTATGTAAGTTGAGTCCAGCTAGTTTTGTATGATTTTTTTAAGATCTAAGTTTCTGTAAATTTCTTGTGTAGGATGACATCTATCCATATATCGACTGAAGGGGAAATTATGATATAGTCCAAGCTCATGTGTTTACCAGAGCTGATGATGTGGTGGATGAGAGAATCGATAATCTGATGGAGTTGATAAGAACAAAACATGATTTTAGTGACCATGTTTGGGGTATTGAAGAAACACCAGAGGATGAATCTGCTGTGAATGATAACTCAGCTGTCCATGATGAAGCCGCTGAGAGTGATGAAGACTATCATACTCCAAAAGGATCAAAGAACCTAGGCGCTACATCAAGCAGAGGTAAGAAGAGGCTTCCAGATCGTGGTATGGAGAAAAGGAAGCATAAGATTCTCTCTACTAGACCAAAGCAAACGCCTTTTAATGAAGACATGAAGGCTTTTGTGACACAGTTGTTTGAGCAGGGTTTCTCTGGAATGGAACAGAGGCTTCAAAAACAGATGGCTGAGACATTTGAGAAAATGAAGACAGAGCTTGAAGATTCACGGAAGGAACCTAGCGTTGAAGTTGAGCCTGGAGACTCTTCACCGAAGAAGTCTTCACCGAAGGAGCCTTCAACGAAGCAGTCTTCACCGAAGAAGCCTTCACCGAAGAAACCTTCACCTACCAAACCTTCGACGAGCCAACCACCGTTGAGGAGGTCCACACGCGGGGTAAAAAAACACTTGTCTTCACCACTCTCTTAAATGTTATTTTCTCTTGTTTATTAGGTGGTTTGCGTGTCTGTTTGTCTTACTATCATCTATGATATCGGTCTGTTTTATAAGGTCTCGGTTTGTAAGTGTGCTTGGTTTGTAAGTGTGCTTGGTGTGTTATTGTCCTTGGTTTGTAAGGGTGTTGTTTGAAACTTATGTACAATGTTGGTGTGTTAGTGTCCTTGGTTTGTAAGCGTGTTGTTTGAAACTTATGTACAATGTTGGTGTGTAAAATATTAGAATTATTTATTAAATGTTCATGTAATGGACTTGTTTGTGCTTAATATTATGTGAATTGACATAACAGGAAGCATCCAAGAGTTCCTTTGATGTGAATTTTTAGTGAAGAAGATGATATCCCAGAGTTCATAGATACGCAAGGCGTTGAAGGGATTTCTCAGACCCCGTATGTGCCCGGCTTTGATCCATCTCAGACCAATAAGAGAGACGAGTGGTGGACTCCAAGGACTTCAGTCAGAGATTCAGAAGCTCCACTGCCGTCACAGTGGCAGAAATGGAATAAAGGAAAAGGACTTCAGTTTACTGATTCACCATTGCGCACCGATGGTTCTCCGCAGTCGTCACTATATTATTGCTCTGAAGAATCATGGATAGGATTCACAAAATGGGTTAAGAAACCAAAACCTTTACCACTTGGTCCGTCAATCTTAAATTTGCCTATAGCTACAAGGATAGTAACTCCAGGAAAATGGCTTGGCAACGAGGTAATGTTTTATTGTACTAATTTGTTGAATTTATCTTCTGTAAAACATCTTGGTTGCTACATTAGTTTAATTTTATTGTGAATATTCAGGAAATGGATGCATTTATGTTTATATGGCGAGTTAACACAACTTTGAAGCGTTGGGGCCCAAGCCGTGTTGCTTTCATGAGTGCTATGTTCTGCCTCCAAATCGATGCCGCATACAACAAGTTCACTCGTGACATAAAAGCCTATGAATTGCCTGAGTTTCTTCTTGGGTATGGCAGAGGAGAACTTCAATCTAACTGTTTATTGGATTTTAACGATGAAGGAAAAAACCCACTTGTTCAAATGGACTGATATGTCGGTTCTTGAGGAAATTGAAGACTTCCAAGACTTGTTTGACGTGCTGCTTGTTGACAATATTGAGATTCAGAAATCAGTGGGAGGTGGTGAGGCCATGATGAAAGGCCATGAGAGTAGAATTAAAGAGACGGAAGATGCAATCGCTCATTGTGAAGAGAAGATCACAGAATGCATTAGAGAATTAAATATCATAAAAGCTTTGTTTGTTTGTTGTTTGGTGATGGTGTTCATGTACATTGCCTGATGTTCATGTGCTGCCTCAAAATGTACTTTATTTTCAAACAAGTTTAAGACTATGTTTCTTGTTATTTCTTGATGATTATTTCAGATACCAAATTGTCACAAACATTGATCTATTAGTCTCAAGAGTTTAGCAAATACCAAATAGTCAAATATGTTCTTAAGTAAAAGATCATTGTTGATTCAAGATCAACAAGAAACAAAACAGAAACAAAATAACACACAAAACAAACTAGATGGGTAAATCGCATGTTCCTCTCTTGTGTCCTTGGGTACCACAACGACTACACTTGTGTTTTTTATTCTTTGTTGATCCCTGAGAAGATTTTATCTTGTCTTCTACTGATTCATACCTTTTCTTTATTGGTCGACCAGCACTCTTTCTTGTCTCTGGTGGCAAAATCTTAGCAATTATAACCTCAGCGGGGACATTCCATTCAGACTCTGGAACTGCTATTGGATTAATGCATTCCTCATAGGCGGTTCTCCACGCTGTAGTGGTGTATAAGACATCAGTGAATCTGTGCACTTCCAGGCCTGCATCAAAAAAAATGTGATTGATTGGAGTCACTATGATTAATTACCAAAAATGAATAGGTCCCAAGTTCAAGTGTTTATACTTCCATACCTCGTGACTAAATTGCAAGAATGGCGTGTCGGCAAGGAATTTTTCCTATATCATACTTCCCACATGTGCATGTTCTTCTTTCCAAATCAACAAAACAATCATATATGTCACCTTTCACAAGTGATTTGAAGTCGTCAACCTTGTGAACTTGAAACCCTTTTGCCTTCACAATTCTCCTATCAATCTTTTTCTCCACCTTAGTGGTTAA